GTCAAGACAAATGATAGCTTACTGGTCAAACTTTGCCAGATATGGGTAAGCGCTTACAATACCGGAAGAGTAGATTATACCTAAATAGTAGTGGTATTAATGAATTTTTTATGTTTAATTGTGAAGACCTTAAATATACCTTCGAAACAAGTATGCAGAAATAATAATATAAAAAAATATTTTGTAAAGCTCTCAAATTATATATATGATGTGACTTTGATTTGCTGCTATAATGTCATCAGTAAAACGGATTTTAAAAATATTTATGTACTTCATTTTCAGTTCTCCCAATGGCCCTACAGTTCCAGTCTTTTGGCCTCAGTACGAAACATCCATGACGTCATACATGTACATCGGAAACGAGACTGAAGTAAAACAAAATCTGGGTGGTTCCCGAGTCCAACTATTGAAAAACGTAGTGAGACGCCTCGCTGACTCTGGCAATTGTCCTGCAATGTCAAAAACAATGTACACACCAGCTCCCTCTAACGGTTCGTGGATAATGCAGTATATCATGCCGGATCAGCCTGAGGTCAACACCCGTGTTGGGCGTGTGAGAGGACTTGCTCTACGGGCCAGCGCTTTTACTAGTGGAAAAGATTTAAACCTTTTCCTAGGTATTCCCTACGCTAAGCCACCAACAGGTGATCGCAGATTCAAAAAGCCAGAACCAACAACTGCTTGGACTGAAACCCTCAATGCAACAATGAGCGCACCACCTTGCCTCCAACTCCCTTCAGATTTTATGATGGTGCTTGGTTTGAATCACACCAGTGAAGATTGTTTATATGTGTCCGTAGTCGTGCCTCGAGGAACCGTAGTAAATGATAAGAAGCCTGTTGTTGCCTTAATTCATGGTGGCTTCTTTATAAACGGCAGTCCAGATGAACATTCACTGGGAATTTTCTCTTCTTTGGGCGATGTCATTACTGTAAGCATTAATTATAGACTCGGTATGCTTGGATTTATGTCGACTGGAGATGACACTTTGAAAGGGAACCTCGGACTCTATGACATGGTGGCTGCAACAAAATGGATTAAAGAGAACATTGCTTCTTTCGGTGGCGATCCAGACAAAATAACCCTACTTGGTACTGGATCTGCAGGACTGGCAGTACTTAATATGATGGTCTCCCCTATGGCAAAAGATTATTTCCATCAGGCTGTCATAACGGGCCCTACCACGCCGTACGCCGCACAAACGCCGGCTGCATTAGCGGAAATTAGCAGGAATTTTTCCGCTGGTATTGGATGCCGACAGGAATCGAGCTCAGAGCTTATAGAATGTCTGAGAAGTAAACCAGCCGATGCATTCATTTACAAGGGAAATCCTTACCTGGCAAACCACGTATTCCTTGTCACTGATGGAGAACTAATAAAAAGTGATCTTGTAACAGCGTATACTACCAGTACTCAACTGAAGCCTCTTGTGATTGGAAGTACGTCAGACTATGCTGGTATTTTCCTTCAACAATATCTTGGTTACAGAGATTCTATGACCCAGCAAGAAGTCGACGCTTCTATTGATATGACAATTGAAGCAGTTTTTCCAAAATCAGGAATGAAGGACCTTTTGAAAGCCATGATTAAACAGCAGTTTTTTTCATCAGAAATCAAAAATGATAAAGATAGACTGATGGCTCTCTTACACTTCTATAACAGCATGCACAAGTACGGCTGGTTGTATATGCTTGGTGTAGGGCATGCATCCCATGGTGGAGACGTGTATATGTACGAATTTAATCATCGTCCACAGTGGTCATGGTACCCCGAATGGATTGGCGCCACCTTCCGAGACGACCTCGCGTTCTTGGAAGGCTTACCGTTCGACAAACCACTTCTGGCTGAATTATCATTGTCAGTCACAGACCGAGACGAAATGATCAGTGGGGCACTCATGTCGTATATCGGAAACTTTGTTGGAACAAGGTAGGTTGACTGGGCTCCATAGTCACAAAATCAATAGTTTCTTGTTTGCTACATGTAGTTGGATTCGATTTTAGATGATAGCAGTAGATCAAAACCTGTATACTGAGATAAAGAATTTTGGTCGTATTGTGCGTTTTTCAAATTTCCCTTTATTGCAATCAAACATCGAATTTAACTTGATCATCATTGTAATTTACGGATAGTATTTTATCAACAATCCTTACTCCCTTTTGTAGTAATCCAAACCAAGGCAATTTCCCAGTGTCCGTGGAATGGCCAAAGTTTGAGGAAGATGTTCCTAACTACCTCATGGCAGGTCTACGATTCATGGCAGCAGACATGAGAGACATGATGGGCCAAGAACAAATACGTTTCTGGCATGGTGAAGGAAAAAATAATTCCATACTGGATCAAGTTGCTACTATAAAGATGAGTGCCCAAACAATGAGTACTCCGGCACCCACTACGCCCCCTGCAGCAACATGCCCACCCGCGTTGGGGAGCTCTGATTTCCTGAATTCAATGAACCTTGATGTCAAAGGAGTAGACGATCTTGTCTTGGCACTCATTGTTATAGCTTCTGCGTTGGGTCTTTTCCTCATAATTGCAGTAGGGTATGTGTGCGTACTAAACGGCAGGATTGGGAAGCTTAAACAAGCTGCTTTATCCACATCAAAAATTGAGCTAACTAAGATGTGAAATGAAAATTGAAAAATTGTGCCTTTTTGGTCAGCTAAACATGTGTCCATTGCACATATTGAAATAACTTCTTGCCAGTATACGTCAAATATGATAATATCATCTTATATATCTTATTCGGATTTAGAAATAATTGCACACTGATGATTAATATCCAGATGAAAAAATGAAATAATTCAGGTTCTAAATCCTTTTACATGATCTACTTAAAGTTAACATGTTTTACTTTAGCTTCTTTTTGATTATAAAACCTTAAATAAATCTGTTTCACGAATCTGTAAAACGGAGATGAGCCTCGTTAATTTTAAGGTTTATGGGCCATGGTTTGCAATTTTAACGTTTTAACAAATATTATATTGACAGTCTAATCTAATTATGGCAACACGGTCTAAGGGTATAGGGTTAATTTAAAGGGACAGGGTACTCAGATATATAAAGGTATATCTATTTTTGTACTCCTGTCTGTACCAGTTCTAAGTTATAGATAAAACAACTTATTTAAGGCAGACTGAAAAAGGCACGTGGCCGCTTTGAATCCCTAGATACGCTTTGAGCAGATCAATATCGATTTCAAATTAAATGTGAGACGATTTCAAAATTAACGTAAATAAAGTAATGACGACACTGATTATTATAATGATTATAATATCTCTCAGTAGGCCAGGTTGAGGGTAGTAGAAATTGCCGTTATGAATTAAATGTACACTCAACTAACAGATTTGATAAAGGATACCAAGGTACTTTACCTCTCTGTGCTGCCTGTGTTAGATAATAGTGCCAAATGTAAATGCTCCCAATTTGTTTAAAACATGATGAAAAGGAACTTAATGTAGTATTTTCTTAATGTATCATTATCCTTATCATTATATAAAAGATGATCAACTCATTCTTATAACCAAGAAATAAGAAACAGCACATTTATATTCGTAGTGTAATATTTATACGACTTTTTTTACCTTGGAGTAATCATATAAGTGGCAATATATCCCTCTTGTGTTCACTATTTAGGTAGTGTACAAGGACATCTATACATATAATCAATATTCTGTCAGGAGAACGGGGTGAAACATATGAATGTACATTCAACACAATAATAATATCTGTTCATCTCTGCACTTTGAAATTAAAGGCTCAGAAATGTTGATTGATATTAGGAAATAAAGTGATCAAACTTGCATTTTTGCATAGATTTGAATTTAGTCATGCGCCTATGTGAGTGAGCGTTTGTGTGTGTCTGAGGGGGGGATCGGGAAGTTTATTGTTTGACTTGTCAGTGTGCTTTAAGGATCATATTTCACAAAACCAGATATAAGTGACTATAAAAAGCCGATTGATTTGATGTGATCAAAGATCAACGCGCTAGAATCCAATTGAATGCACTTCGCACCTCAGTTCATTGCTCTAATGTCAGCTGGATTGTCGTCATTGTCGTTTATATTTGAAGCAAACGATTAAACGTAATTGATATAAATTCCCCAGAAAGAAGATTTGTTCTTTTTGAAACAGACAATTACAACAATTATGAATTATATAACATGAAATCATATAAATAAATATAATATTTTATATATTACCCCTTTAGATTCTACTGATATTGATATTAATATTTAGTACTAAGTAGATTAATACTAAGGAGATTTGTACATATGTTATTATTCAATTTTTGATCGTGAAAGTATTTTGATCTTTTACCAGCTTGCTTAATCAATTTCCAAACTTTATACATGTATTTATCCCGAACTATGTCCCTTAGTAGCTATTTAGGTTTAATGATGATTTACGGAAATTGTTTTGTGTATAAACTACGAAACGAGAACAGAATTTAAAAAAAAACATGCCCTTTCCATCCACTTAAACAAAAAAAGGCGAGCAATAGGCTAAGCTACTAAAAAGTAACCTTTTAAACAAATTAAAAACTGGCTGCAAACACCTGATGATCACCCTTTATTGTATTATCCTTCTTTGGTTGCATTAACCATTACACTTGAGAGAAGGTTCTTTTTGCGTCCACCGCTCTCAAATTACCTTCAATATGATGCCTTGATGTTGTGCACTACGGCAGCCAGCAGACGGTCGTTCAAAACCGAACCGTTGTGAATATCCAGACTGAAGATACGACGCATAATCACGGAACATTACAGCACCTTTGTTACATAAACAAGCTCGCTCAGAATCCATCGCGTTTTGCCACATCTATCCAATCTTGATAGATTCGCTTTCAATTCACAGCAGAGGCAGATAAATCTATTTTAATACCACTCTGGGACCTCCGTAAGCTTTTCTATTGATTCAGTCGGGGCGCCGTGCTCACTGAAAGCCGTTGCAGTTCATTTACTCGCAGTCGTTGACGGATTGCACCAGTATCCCTCCCCGTTAACCATGAAGTGCAACGAGAGAGCTATGACGTTACTGGCACTGGTCTTCGGGACCGTAGCCACCACTGGACTTTTCCTCGCTCTTACCACCACATACTGGCTCTACACGACAGAGAGACCGGAACAACTTTCATCGTCGGCGGCCAAGGAGAAGAAGAACACCACAAGGGAAGAGGGGAATGTCACGTATGCCCATCTTGGTCTGTGGAGAGTGTGTTTATATTCCAAACAAGGTAATGAAGAGATGTAAATGTTATAAATGCAGTGGGAAAAGAGTTAGTACTCTCATAGTTGGATTAATAGAGTCTGCGTTAACTTGATCTCGCGGGCACTACATGTTTGATGTTACGGATCAACATGCAATGTTGACACAATTTATTTCCAAGGTTTTAATCAAAACCTTAACTTCAATAAGGATCTATTAACACTGTTACAATTTTAGGTATTGTTATTGCTAACTTTATGATATAAAACAATAAAAAATCTTGCTATGACCCTTTCGCCTCTGTTGCTGCTAATGACTGTGTAGAGACCCTGACATATTAATTATACAAAGTGCATCAATGGTTGAGTCTTTAAACTTCCCCCGGATGGGATCACACCTACAGTGCAGCTAATGAATTGCCTAGATGATCCTAGTTTCAAAGTATGCGGTTTTGTTTTTTATGATGTATATTTATCCCAAACCCTACCTTTATGCTAGTTTAATGATTGAAAAAAATGAAAGATATTTATACATCGATAAGACGCAGGCATCATCATTTTGCTTCAAGTGTAATGTTATCGGCTAATAGGGGATAAAATACATTTATTACAAAATAGGCACATTTTTTATCAGTGTATTGAAAACTTGACCCCCTCTTTCATTGCATTTTATCAGTATCTGATAAAATGAAAGCTGTCACTTAATCATACGGATCTTGCTGTATTCAGATGATTTGAGCAAAAAAACGTAGCTTAAGGGGACTTGCTAAGAATTTTCAGATATTTTCGTATGACATTTCATGAACTGCTGGTGGTCAGATTCCTGTTCAAAATATGTAACTCCTTTTGCAAATGGGGAAAGATGTTATGGTTCAAACAGAAAACTGCTTAATATTCCTAGACTATGCTATTCAAAAACACCCCTTTGGATAAATGCACAACACTTAAACTGCCCTAAACGTGACAGAAAATGCTGTTTCCGTAGTTACTCGATTAATTATGCATCATCGAAAATATCGCTCTTTTCACCGAATTTCGTCTGGTAAAAAAAAAAGAAATGGGTTTGCTTGTAGTTAAGAATCTCATTAAATTTGTTGGATAATAATTAATTGCAGAAAAATGGAAAAAACAATATTAAGATATCCGTCTTATTTAAATGAGTCAGTAGCATGCATGTTGACAAATTTTAAGGGTAGGTTACCATTCAGAAAAGAAGCGACGGAGGTTGGAATTTCCATTAACTTCTGCTTTCTGCCCTTGTGAGTAACGTGGTTGAAAAAAAGAATATTTCTCTCAGCTCACCGAACGCCTTCGGTGTGAAATAAAAGCCACATAAATATAAGTTTTAAAAGTACTTCCAATCAAACAATGCCTTAAGACCCAAAAGATACGGTGTCGCTTCAATGTAATTGTCAATAAAACCCTCCCATTTGCTCAGTAAAATTCAGTAAAATAAATTCGTGCTAAACTTAGATTGGCAGAGAATTTGAATCGACCGTGTCTAGGTAAATAACTATTTCAACACAATAAGACGTGCACTTTAGACAAAGCATCATGAAGCAATGCCAAAGGTGATGTGCTGAAAATACATTAACAACGACGTCTATTTCTGAGTCAAAAAAGTACATGTACTTTAAAGAATTGATAAGATAACAGCAACGTAAAATTCAGTCTATATCTAGTAGATGCCAGTAAATCGCATAAGTGCGATAGATCCCCAGGGTCAATCCCGGCAATTTCCATCGATAAATCGCCTTTGGAGGAAAGGACTTGGCGACGACGATTGAAACTGTTTCTCATGATTGTTTGGAATCGAAAACATTGCCCTTCTAATGTCGCTGTCAATTATGGGTGTAGACTGAAGGGATAGAAGAAGCACTACATTGAGCTGTAACCGATTTATTCCCGGCGACTGGAATTCATTCATACCTAATTTACACTGTAAAGTGAACCCTGGCCGTAAAAATACGGTATATGAAACCAGAGTGACGATCCTGTACGGGTGTGTTAGTATTCGTCCCTTGGTATATCTACTTACAAGAGCAAATAAATTAAAAATTAAAATTTTAAAATTTTCTATCGATTCCCACGTTTTTAATTTAGCTTTTAGGTGCTGAGTATATTAAAACAAGCCAATGTTATGGCTACATGTATCATTGATTGTGACAGTAATGCACATGTTATCACCAAGTCCGCTTTGACTACCACAAATATGTACATGGAATGGCCATATTTCTGTGAGGCAATACCATAAAAGTGACATTATATTTAAATGGGTCAGATGATGGGCAGTCGTGATCGCCGATGTTCGATAAAATATTTATCTGTTGAACAATTTCACATTATTTTCTAATAAAGAGTGCACTGCTGTTTAAATTGTTCGAATTTAAGAATGCGTATATACTTCGAAAAGAATCTACCGTTTCGGCTTTCCTAACACGTGCTTTCAAGATAAATTTGCGATAACAGGGGCATCTCACAACAGGAACCTTAAATTCAGCTATGTGCAGTGTCTTGAGTAGCTATGAAAGATACATTCCCTTAAGGCCAAATGAAAGTCAACAAATTCCTTTTTTAGACGTCAAATGCTTCGACTTGATTTGACATAAGCCCGTCGAGTAAAACCCGTCTATGCATTCTATTGTAATTCAACTGTGTTAAAAAGGGTGACAAAAATTGACCTACATGTACCAACTCTTTCAGCAGTAGGTTTTAGTGAAATGAGTACATTTTATTTTGCATTTTGGTGCTTCTGAGGATATCAGATTGTGCCCCCTCCCCCAATTATCTAGTGCGATTATGATAGGAAGCGGAAAACCATTGTACGTATATCTCTCTGCTGTGGCATGATATGCTCCATTTACGGTTTACTCACCCACGATTGAAAACGCCATCTCATGGTAAAAGTAACGGGAAAATGTGTAGCAAAATAAAAGCCTTAGCATTGTACATTGAAAAAGCCTAATATACATGTATCAGTCAGGTTAGAACCACACTGAAAACAAAGAGTTCAATGTTCAGTTATGGCCTACAGTATATTGCAAAATAATTAAATTTACCGGCGTGGTTAGGACAGCTATTATTTAAATTTTTGCTCGGAACAAATTAAACACTTTTAAGTATACTTTTTTTTCGTTGTGGTGTTAATTGCTTAATGCAGAGATAAAGAGCAAAGCAATAGCACCTGCCAAACTGTTTTGTTTTTGTTTTTCAGCGGGTATCTCAAGAGGTCAGAAAAAAGTGCTATGTTCTGTTTGCGACATATGTTACGTATTTGAACGTCCATGGTGCTTTTTTTAACCAAGTTATCTATCGGCAGAATTGATCTTTCCTGAAACATCTGCCAATATGTGCTCATTAATTCTTACTTAGCAGCAATGTGCGCCATTTAATGCAATTAGTAGGGCTCTCCTACGGTGTTCCTATTCAAAACAACGCTAAAATTTTCGACCATTTCTTTACAGACCCGGATAGACCCTCAGAATGTGCCAGCATCGACTACTTAAGTAAGGATCCGCCACAACTTCTGGGGCCCGAGAGGAAAAAACTGCCGTCAGAAATAACCCTCGCTCTTGCCAGTAAGTGTGAATGTTAATAACCAGATGGACCCTGCAGAGATAGAGCTACAAGTACTGCTAGGGACACGCATATCAGATGCAGTGTAAATCATAAAATAGATTGCTGAAACCCCGTCCAGATACCGCACCGTATTTAAGCTATTTATTCATGTTGTATCGATTTAATAATCATTACCGTTCTATAATGAAGAAATAGAATTATTTCAATGAATATGTCATTACTAACTGTACAACGATCACATTTCGTGACCTGTTCCAACAGCCTTTGCAGATTTTCTCAAAATAAACAGTTTGAAGCAAAAAAAAAAAAAAAGACAATTTTCCAGTATTCTATGTCATTACCCTAGGCAAGGGGTAATTCCTAAAATATATTTTTTTAAAATCTTGAGTGAAATGTCTTGACAAACCCAAAGCTCGGATGTCAATTTTACAATTTACAATTCCTTCAAGATTCGTCGGGCTACAAAAGCAACAGAATAAAAGGTGCATCCAATGCACTACGAACAATATATGCTCTCTGGGCTTGGAGAACTCTCTGTCTACTCCAAGGGCAGAATTTCATGTGTCAAAACCCAGGGGAAAAGACAACATGGCCGCAGCTGCTAGTTGCTTGCTGAATATCATACTTTCGTAATAATGGGTACTTTATGGTGAGTCAGAGTTTCACTTTGTGGTTTTATTTAGCCTTGGTCCCTGCCCTCGTGTACTGTTGGCGACAAATATAGACTGTTTTGTGCGTAAGCCTACTTTAGCAGTTAAATCTCCTGAGTCTTCGTAGGCAGACATTGCGCATGCAATGCATAATGCAT